TAGGACACATCCCGGGTGCGAGAACACGGGACTCTGTCTCTTATACACATCTAGATGTGTATAAGAGACAGGTGTGTGTGTGTGTGTGTGTGTGCTCTTGTCGACGACCTTTCTCTTCGTGGACAACCCCCTACCGGTGTTGTGCACCAAAGTCGACACGGAAAACTCGAGAGTCATGGAGAGCATGGCAAACAATAGTAGAACGCAGAGAAGTTGCGGTGTCTAGGCGAATGCGATGGCTAGCGAACAACAAGGACCCTTCTCTTCGTAGGTCAGTCTCCGCATCGTCTTCCTCTTCGACAACATCATCGCCTGCATGTCCATCATCGTTGTCGTCGTCGTCATTGCCATCTCCCCTCCCTGCCCTGCACAGCAAGTTGTAGTCGAAGGGGATGCCTGCATTGATGATAATGTTGTGCAGAATCCAGCACGCGAAGAATTGGTAACATACGTTCCGCATATTAGCGATCTGTCTCCGGCAAAAGCAACGCCACATTCCTTTCAACTGGCCAAAGCACCTTTTGATAGCAATAGGGAGGGCGGAGAACGCGTTGTCAAACGCTCTCTCCTCTACAGTTCTATCAGGTCCTCTTAACGGAATCAGCAGCCATGGAAGGATAGGATACCCAGCGGGCCAGCGTCACCCATCGTATATCGTCCCATTACCACACCATCCATGAGGACGTTCGTCCTCCGCATGAAACGCTCTCTCCCCTCCTCCCCATGGTTGTACAGATCGGGCAGGCGTAGGACATGAGAATCATGCACCGAGCCAGGTGCACCGATGGAGACGTCTAGAATGTGCAGGTTCTCATCGCACACCACTTGCGCAACAAGGGAGTACTGCCTATCCCTGTCGAAGTACGGCTCAGCCTCTGTGCCAGGTGGTTTGTCGATATGGATATCTGTACACTCAATCACACTGTCAATCACACTGAGACAACCAGGCAATCATTTCCCCTCGTAGTAATCCAATGTAGCTTGCAGGCGAGCCCCAGTCGACCAAGACAACATATGCCCGTACTCAGCACAAATCGCTCTTGTGACGCCGTCCGTGCATCTGATGGCGTTGCGCAATCCCAATCCGAAGTCGTTACCACACTGTCGGTAATAGCCTCCGGTCACCCATTGGTATAGTGCAAAAGTGAACTTGAAAGATGCTGGCAACGCCGGTTGATACGGAGTGTCCATCCTTTGTATTCTTGCCGCGATCCGCTGCAAAATTTCCTCAAACGGGGGCGTCGTTAGCTACGAAACACCCACGGATGCATCCGTGGGGTCGAGCTCGGAGGGCGGCCGTATTCATGTCCGCGGCCGCGGTTGGCGCACCGCGGACATGAATTTACCCGATTTTCCCTAAATAAAATAATGGGTAAAAAAAAAAAAGCAAATATGGGGTTGTAGGGATTTTCATGCCCTACAACCCCATAGATTGTTTTTTGGGAACAGATAATTTATAGAATTATAAAAAATAAAAAACAGAAAAGGTGGAGACACTCACTGACTGTTGGTTCCCACCACCCACTGAGCCAGGGAGACACTCCGACCAGCATCCGTCATCACCTACAGGCAACACAGACACCCTGAACTGAGCAGCCCCCATAAGAGTGCAGTAGGCACTCTAAACGAGGGACCACCGACTGTTTGGCACTACTTAAAGGTGCTCAGTTGGGCATACAAAAATACTCCGAAAAATTGGAAGAGAGGCAGAAAAACAAACATACCAAGAACTGATTGTGTGTGTGTGTGTGTGACCCACCCACTGTCCCTTCATGGGGAAGGCCAAATGGACTAGCGCCTAGGGGCACTAGGCCATTCTGGCCTGCACCCGATAGACACCACACACATACACATACAGACACATACACCACACTAAGCAAACAAAAGATGAGAAAAAGACACAATAAGGAAAGCACATACTGGCATGACAGTACATGTGTGTGTGTGTGTGTGTGTGTGCGTGTGTGTGTGTGTGTGTGTGTGTGTGTGTGTGTGTGTGTGTGTGTGTGTGTGTGTGTGTGTGCGCGCGTGTGGGGGGGGGGGGGGGGGGGGG